ATAATGGTAGACATTTCTTATATCTTTCTCGTTGACTGATAGTTTCTAATAAAGTTAACCTAAAGTATGAAAAAATAAGATATATTGTAAGTGTAGAGAAATGAAATTGGCTTGAAAATACAAAAAAGAAAGGGTAGAATTAGCTTAGACATCTTAACATGAGAGTAAAATTAACGTAAAAATTTAAAAGAAAAAAAAATAAAACTGGCCTAAAAATATAGCACTGTTTAGTAGTAGCTACTACAAGTTGTTCGAAACCAAGTGATAATTTAGTGATACGATCTCGTACCTCCAACTTTTCACATGCAACATCAGAAAGTACATCGCGAATATCGATCAATTGACGTTTCGTTTGTACTGCTTCAATATTTCGCCATGTAATTCGTCTTCAAAAATTTGTAACATTTTATTTAAAAACTAATTTATTTATTTTTTACAATTTTTAATTAAAAAATACAATATTGTTAAACTTTTTTCCCTCCTAAAATAAACTGATCAGAATGATTAATTTGGTAAAAATTTTAGAACTTATTTCTAATCGATCAGTAACTTGAAAAAGTTCAAAATTCAATCATGATGATGCAAAAGAAATGCAAATTTCAGGAAAATTATTTGAAATGATTACTTCTCAACCAAATAAGCATGCAAAACATTTCCATCAGAGCAGGCACCAGCTAGCTGAGTACTATCAGGTGACCAATTGATATTGTAAATGCTTCCTGTTGATAATTTTTCCAATGAATGTGACCACTACAATAATATAAATGTTAAAAAAATCGTTTTTTTTAACTTTGAAATTGTCTTTAAAAGTTTTTAAAAGTGAAAAAAAAAACTACAAATGATAGTAAATCGGAAGAAATTTTTCTACAAAACTTATACAATTGTGAAGGTTGAAGAATGCTTTTACTGTTATTTGTTAACAGGGTTAAAATTTTCAAAATAAAAAAAAAAAAAACATACTCCAGCCTTATCGCATAATCTAAGCAGATTGAAAGATCCAACAGCAAAAAGGTCACCATCAATATTCCATGCAATTGATGTAATTGGATAGTCTTGTGAACTGCTACAATACATTGGACGTCCATATTCATCCCATACCTAAAAAAATTTTTTGCTGAAAAAAAATTGCTAAAGTGCTAAATGTAAAAAAAAAAAAAATGCTAAATTCCTTGCAAAAATTTTCATCAATACTTGTTGAGAAGTAAAATTTCACAACAAAAAAATTGATAAATTCCTAAAAATTTAGCTAATTTTTTGCACAGTTAAAGAAATAAATATTTGAGAGATTAACCTTATATTTGCAATCTTCTCCACCGCTTATCAAAAGATTCGTATTAGCATTCCAATCAATACATAGCACAATACCATCATGAGCCTTCCATTTGATAAGCGATATCTAATAATTGGTAAAATTAGGAATGTGTAAATTAGTAAAACTATTTGAAGCTAATAAAATAGAGCTATTCAGTGAATTTAATTAAATTTAACCATTCATCAACATTTAAGAATTTCATTTCTGAAAGCTGTATATGACAAAAATGGCAAAAGTTAAAATGGCAGTATTGCAATATTTAAAACAGCAATATTGCAATATTGCTGATTGCCACTTCATTTGTATCTGACCAATAAATGAAGGCTTTTTTTTTTATTTATTGGAGACAAACTCATCACTGATATAATAAATTTTTATTTCAAAAAGTTGTGAAAAAAATTTTTGCCTGTTGATTACCTGTGATTTAAGAACTTTTGTGAAACAATTTTCACCGCAACAAAAAGCTATGGATGAATCATCGCCGTTCCAACAAATCTCATAAACTGGACAAGAATTTTCCAGTAAAATACTTCGGAGCATACCACTTCGAGACCACATCTTCACTGCACCATCTTCTCCACCTCAATTAATAACTTCAATTTGTTTATATAAATTTCGTTTTAAATTGTTACTCTCTTCCCCTCCTTCTCTCTCTCTCTCTCTTCCAATTCCAAATTTAATTTTAAAAATTTAGAGCAAATTTTATGGATGGAAATAAAATTTTAGTTAAAAAATTTCACCTCAGTGCAATACAAGAAAATAGCATTTTCTAAATCAAAACGAAAAAAAAAAAATTAGTATTTTTGAAATGAATCGAAAATTTTGCACGAAGTCAAGCTTTTAATAAGTTTACTGATAAGAACCAACAAGTCGCGAATGTAGAACCATCATGACTCCAACGACCGGCCAAAATTGCTCCTTCATGAGCTTCAATCACTTTTTCAATACGTCCATTTCGATTGCAAATATAAAATTTACCTAAAATTTACAATCAATTTCAGAAATATCAGTGAGATCAATATTTAACATTATTAATTATTATTTGATTGCCTGTCTTATTTTCGAGAATATTAATTAATATATAAATGTATATTAATTGTAACTTTTTGTGAAACGTTTTTTGGTTATTGTTATCATATCCGGAAAACAAAAATACAATATGAAACCTTCTGTTGATGTTAAAACAAAAATATTATTTAACTGTTGTTTGGTACTGTCATATGGAAGCCATTGCATATCTGTCGGATATAATGAGCTGAAATTTTTTTTTTTTTGCAAAATATTTTTCAAATTTTATTGGAAATTTTTAACATTTATTAAAATTTTATCATTCAAATTTTACTATTTTTTTTTGTTTTTTTTTGTAAATGAATATTTTATTTTATTCAAATAGTAATTAATTGTTATAGAAATAAATTGATTGAATAAGAGAATGTGTATCATTAAAATTTTTTTACCTAAGAATTTTTGCTACCTGGGTAAGTGCATTAACACCTGAACATCACTATTCATTAAATTCCATTTTAACACTTGCTGATCATCACCCGCACTAATCAATTCATCGCTTTTTATCCATGCAACAGCTGTTACCGAATCACTGTGTTTTGGTTCTCGTGCCATTGTCACCTTTAAACGCATTTTAACGTTTGTTTGTCTGAAAAATTATTTTCATTTAAAAGGCTTAATCAGCAAAAAAAAAACAATCCATGGAATTAAAGAAATTGACTAAAGTTCATTATGCATTTAACTTATTAAATTTGAACAAACTTGTATTGTTTATGACTCTCTCTCTTCTCTCTTTTTTTTCCCTCTCTCTCTCTCTCTTTCTCTCTGCAGCGTGTAAAATCAAAATTTTGATCATAATTCGTTGCTAATAGTAACCGCATGGAAAGATATGCACACAACATCTGTTATGTAAGCATAATTATTCTCTCCAACTGAAACCATTTTGAGACAATAAATAATATACTGAAAAATACTTGAGATAATAAGTAATAGAGTACTGAAGTTATCCTAAGTAATAGAAGTAATGAATTATTGAAAAACCAAGGTATTTCGAAAAATATTGCATAAGAATGACAAATAGAATTCACATTTTTTCATTCATTTAAAAATAAAATTCGCATTTTGACATACTTGGATAAATTTTTTTTTTGTATTAACATCAAATAAAATTGCTTAGGAATTTCGGCTTTTTTTTTTCGTAATAAAAGAAATTGTAATTTTATTGAAATTGTAAGATTCATTACAGAAAAGGCATTTCATATGATATTCCTGTAGAATATCATATGAACAAATTGTATAGTATTATAAAAGAAATGGATTAAAATAAAATTGATATGGCAAATTAAAAAAAAAAAAATACATACATGTCTTAAAATCTTAAATAAATATTTCATCAATAAATTCACTTCCAGACGATTAATTCTGTAGTATACTTCAGAATAGGTCAATTTATTTCATAAATATGATATCAAATTTAATGGAAAACTTTTTATTACATTATTCATATTATTGATTAACAAACAATTGGATTCTTATTTGTAAAACTTTTTTTTCTGTAATTTTACCAATCATCATCAATCATTCATTCCTTCTTTCATTTTTTAAATTAAATCTAAGTTGATCAATTTCTGATTAAAAAAAAAAAGACACATTTTAAATGTTGACATAAGAAGGTGCAATTTGTTATGCAATTTCAATTTAAAACAATCATATATAGGCTTATGAAAAAAACAAAATCCTTCATTTTTCCCTGCTTCTCCTACAATCATTCATTTCCAATTTCTTTGATTTCATAATAAAATTCAAAAAACACACGCTTTCATTTGATTCATCTCATCTGTCATATTTTAGATTGGTGCGCATTTTTATCATATTATCAGTAAGCAATCCTTCATTGATAGCAAAATCTGAATTTAAAAATATAAAAAATACGTGCAAAGATTTAATAAATGAGACATGCTCTATTAACCTGTTAATTATTGGAGATAATTATGAAGGTCTTAAATATGACCAAAAATTTCTAGATAATACGTCGTAAAATTACCTGTTAGTGTTGAAATTGTTGGAGATAATTATAGTATCGTAATAAAATTATCACTTACCTATGAAGGATTAACTTCTCGTGGACAGAGTATAAAATGCCTGTTAATTAATATTATATTGTTTTTCTCTTTATTACTTCCTGCTAAGGCCTTATTTCATTTTTCTTTTATTGGTCGTATTGATAGCTTAAACTATGATGATTTGTTGACAAATATAATGTTTTGTGTAATTTCTTATTGATCAGCCAAAGATTACTGCCATTCATTTTTCTTTTTCTTTTTTTTAAATTAAATTATTGAATAAAAAAAAAATTCACTCAAATATTTGATCTTTGTAATTTACATTTCATACATGTTTTACACTTATTCAAATGACATATTTCAATCTTTAAATTATAGAGGCTATCCTAGTAGATTTAACAAGGAATCAATTTATTTTCCAAATTTTTTATATCATCTTCTCATTGATCGATCACATCTCATCCATATAAATTATTTTTGTTCACACTTTTTTTTTCACATCAATAACTATCACCAAAAAAAAAATAGCTCATTTATTGATTAATTATTTGCACTTGAATAATTTTTCTATTTCAATTATTTTTATTGAATGCTCTGTCTGGAAAGGCCCATTATTGGTTTCATCTAACGTTTTCACTAACATTCATTGCCTACCTATTTTTAAGGCTTTATCAGTATGTAACAATATTGATGGCATATTACGAAGTTCACAATAGCATAACCATCATAATGTTGAGAAACAGTGACCGACATTTATGACCCATTTTTTGTTTTTTTTTTTGTCATTTTTATCATTCTTATCTTTTATTTTCAAAAAATAAATTTTATTGTTATTATAATTGGGAAAAATTTTACAATAATTTAAAATTATTCGAAATTTTTTCTTAAAAATTTAGCAAAAATAGTTTTTGATAATCTTTTCAGCTTATTAATCTAGCAATATCAAACTCATTAATTTTATCAATAAAGCTTGCCAAGTGATTATCAATTGAATCGACTGGCTATTCTTAACTGTTAGAATTAATGGAATTGATATATTTAAATTTATGGAAATTCTAACAAAAGATTAGAATGAATGAAAATGCACTGCGGTGCATAATCTTTATCAATTTTTCCTTTTTGCTTTTAAAGTATTTTATAGATTGAAGAATTAATTTGTGATAATCACTGAGAACAAATGCTGCTAATAATATGCTTTCTTATACAACACCGAAATTGCTAGCATTGAAATTTTGTCGGATGGTTTTTAAAATTCAACCATTTACGTTTAGCTTTAAAATACGAATCATGTTTGTAACTATTTCAAAATGAGACAAATATATATCAACTTCAGCATTTTTTAATTCGTAGATTCGCTTTTCTAAATGTTCGATGGGAAATTTTTTATTTGCTATTGATCAAACGGTAATTATATAGACATGAAAATGAATATGCTAATTCTTATTTCTTCTCAATGAAAGATCGAGGAAATATTAAAAGTTTCATCTTATCTTTCTCTCATTTAGTTTTTTTTTTTTCTTGGTTAGATGGAAAATAATAACTTTATTTGTTTTATTTCGTCCTTTTCTATGATCTTATATTACAATTTTTTGGCTTAAGCATTTTTTACCTTCTTATATGCTACTAAAACATTCTTCAATTTCGATAATTCTATAAGAATTTTTTTAACGAATTGAAAATTTCCACCGTTTTTCTTTTCTTTTTTAAAGCAATTTTCACAAATTTCTTTCCTTTCATGAGATCGTTTTATTTCATAACGGCAGCAACATTATATGTAATTTCAATTAAACGTCAATACAATTGGGTGATGGGGAGAAGACTTGGCTGATTTCCGTTAGGCGGTGAGGTTGTGCAGGCGGTGCCTGGGGCGTTTTTAATGGACTGTGAGTGTAAGAAGGAATGGAACAGTTGATGACAGAGAGAGATGGAGAGGGAGAGGGAGAGAAAGAGAGAGAAGATAGGATTTGTGATAGAGTTATAGGGGAAATTTCATAACAGGAAAAACTAGAATGCTTTATGAATTGAATTTGGAAAGATGAATAGATAACAATTTTAGCTACTAATTGAGAGTGCAGCCAAATGGTGTAAGGAAATGTAGAAATGCTATATTTATGAATACTGATTAATTTTTTATTCTAATTCCTAGATTGGGATAAAAAAATTTGTTATTCTAAATGTTTAGACAAAAATATTGCAGAGACTAAATTAGTTTAAAAAAGAAATTGATGTACAGAGGATAAAGTATGGCAGAAATGCAAGAGTGAAATGGGGAAGTAGTTGGCATGAATGATATATAAACTTGACATGATTCATTCGGATTTGTTTGTCCTAAATTTTTAATTAAGAATTGTAATTTTCCTTTCAGGGTTCAGTACCTCATACTCGATGGATTTCAACTTTAAAAAAATTGCAAGTGATGCTAGCGGTTTTTTCAGTCGCGCCAAACAGGTGATTAATTCGTATTCATACAAAATGTGTATTCCTTTAAAGAGGTATTCGATGTATTAATAAATTTGAAGTTTTCACATAACATGCAGTGATGGTCGCGGTTAAGCAAGCATTGAGCTCAGGAATTTTTAATTATATTTTAGATTAATGTGCTAACTGTAAATATTCTCAAAAAAGTGCTTTTAGAATAAAGGCTAATTTGGACTGGGGACTAGGATATATACGAGAAATGGTGGTGCTTGAACATAAAATATTGTTCTTCTTTTAATGGATCACAGCATTTTTTTATTCTTTTATAACTGAATGTTGTATACAATGAATTTCTGTGATTGCAGTTAACAGAAGAAACCTTTCTGAAAGCTGAAAAGACAGAGCTCGATGCACACTTCGAGAATCTGCTACAGAGAGCGGATAAAACAGAGGAACATACAAAACGATTGCTCTCTGCTATGGAAAGTTACCTTCAACCAAATCCTAGTTAGTTATTGAAGTTTCCTTAACCTAAATCTGAATTTTATATACCAACAGGTCGACGTGCTATCAGTTATAGCTCCGTAGTTTTTGAATTTTTCAATCAATGTTTTTTCTCGACGAATATGCAAACCCCTTCGTCGGCAGATTTTCGTATTAACCAATATCCCAGCAATTCGGGTGGAGGAAGTGTTTTACGAGAAACTGGAATTGCGTAAAGAAAATCGTCTAAATAACTTGGAGCAATTGGCACAAGCAATGAACGAAGCTGGTAACGAGTTCGGGGCAGGCACACCATACGGTAAACTTTTATTAAGAAAAAAAATTTTTAAATTCATGTACCAAAACAATCCGTAAATTCATCTGATAAAACTTCTCTTAGCCATCAAATTTTTTTCCTACAAAGTTTTTAAATTCGTTTTTGTTTCTTAGCTTCGTGAAGCAGAAAGAATAAAATTAAGAGGCATCATTTCTTTGAACACGCCTATTACTCATACCGGGTATGATTTAAGCAGTTTCAATGTGCGGCGAGACTAATGTTATTATGAATAAAATTCTTCATATTTTATTAAATTAGTTTTCAATGAATTAAATAAAATTGTTCTTTCTTGCTAATCATTACTGAAAACTCAGGACCGCCGAATTGCGTCA